TACTCTTCACAAGGACTGATTTCAAAGCATCTAAATCTGAATGATACATGAATCAAGGCCAGGTAACTCTCTGATGATTTCTTGTCCTTTTTCCCACCCTTACTCTTACGCTTCTTCTTCTTGTTGCTCTCCTTCTTCTTCTTCTTCTGGTGCTTGCTGCTCTTGGCCTTCTTCTTGGATGCCCTTACAAACAGGATGTCACAGAAGTGGGAGTTCTTCAACAACAGAACTGCTGAAGTAAAACATCTCAGATGCCACATCACATTCCCTCATTATGATGCAAACTGTCACAAACACACTCACACATTGCCACTGTATAAAGTATTATATGATCAATGAAGTGCTGCCAAAAGTCGAGCTGGAGACTGAACCAGAGTCTGATTCATTCAGGTCATCATCTTCTTGGTCCTCCTGATTGGGAGGCATCATCCCCATACCTCCCATGCCCATGCCCATCATGGGAGCTGGCATCATGTTGCCTTGAAACCATTGAGGCAACCCATTGCTGGAGTTAAAGGGGTGCCTGTAGTCAGATGGGAGACTACATCTCCCAGGCACCCCCTTTCTTTTGTGACTTGGCATGACTGCCAACTACAGCCAGGGTCAGGCTTGGACCTGAGAAAAGGCTTCAGTGCCAGGCCACATGACCAAATGTTCCACACATTGACCAACTCTCCCAATGAACTCCCAGTGGATTCCCAATGAACTCCCACTGTATTCCCACAGCATTCTCACTGGGAAAACTGCAGGTTTTTGCGGTACATAAAATTGTGTTTTGATTGTTAAAGCAGCACCACTTGAAGAGACATGGCTTGCACTTGTAAGATAGATGAAGCAGCAGGGTGTCGACTGTCCACGGGCGTCCTCTTCACGCTGTCATTCTGACCTTGCATCATTGTTTGAAACACACAAGAACCGCAAGGAAACGCAAGAACCATCCAAGGCCATGCCTCCAGGCTGTGAGTTCCTTTTCCACTGTTTTGGGATGTCGACCTTGCCATGGAGTTGGAGGTCAGTGGGGACCTTAGGTGGATTGGATGTGGGGATTTGGAGGTGGGGATCAAGATATATGATTGTCCCATAGGGTCCAGATACCTCCTCAGTCAGGATGATCTTGAAGGTGAAGATACTCCCAGGTGCTAAAGGACATCCAATTCGGAGGTACTACCTGGACCCTTAGGGTGTGAATTGAAACGAATTCATGCACTATCGATATGGCAAAACTTTGCAGAATGGTTTCGTTTCGTATAGAAAACACATCCTTGCGTCACCCACATACTCAACCAGCGGGTGGAGGCCGACCACCGAACACCTGATGAGATGGGCCGTGCGGAACCGTCTCAACGAGGGGTGAAACCGTAGCATCCGTCTCAACGACGGTGCCTGAACCGTCTCGCCGGGGGTGAACCATCAGCCACGCAGCTTTCAGGGCGGTTCATGCAGCAACCATCACGGCGGTTCATCCATCCGTCGGGATTGCCCGCGCTGGCCCCCACATGACGGAGGTGAGGAACTTCCTCGGTGACGGCATTTTAGGCCAAAGAGTTCTCCATGCAAGGCATCTCCGGATTCGTTCGTGCACTGGGTGGCTCAGACCGTGGCATCTCCATGCCGAGGTCTGGAAGAGTTGCTACAACACTTGAGGCAGAACCAAACACGGGTGACGAACGGGTCACGAAATGGGATTCAGAATCGGGTCCATGTATTGAGTGTATCGACCTCCAGGACCTTCCAACATCGACCTCTGAAGAGGATTGGTAGAACCGTGACCTGAAATCAATTCCTTACTTTGTGACCGACCGCTGCCGGGATCTCATTCGGACGGTCGCGACCGGTGTCGGTCCTGGAGGTTGGAAGTTTCAGTTTTTGCTCTTGTTTCACTGGCTTCTCTTTCCTTTCGGTCAAGGTTTCTTTTGTAACCATTATCAGGACCTTCCAACAGGTCACCACCTGCGACTTTTAAGTCGGAGACCTTGTTGGTTTCGGTGCTGGTATATACAGATCAGCATGGTATGGATGAATCATGCTTTCTGGTATGGTTCCAGCACCGACCCTTCGCTCCTCTCAGCTGAACGAGCTTTGGGCATGGAACGAACGAACTCGAACTCGCTGGAGACTGAGGTGATGAATAGAGACCGTAGACCGGGGTTCCTGGGGTATCCGTCACCTGGGGTACCCAACTGGGATATATAGTATATGATATAGTCTATATATATATATATAGGGTCCTGAAAACCTCTGTTGGGAGTTTGGGCTGCTTGTCTTTTGCCGACATGTCTTTTCGGGCGAAGACGCGTAAATGGCGACGTCCCCCATTCGCATTCCGGGGCTGTCCGTAGTCGTGAGAGGAATCGTTTGAACAAGCATCTGGGAGCCGCGGAGTGGTGATCAAGCGAGATGTTGAGGTGCAAACAAACATGAAAAACAACACATGAAAAGAACCTTTACATCAGCAGACACCCATGGCCCCCTCATGTGTTGGCTCTGTTTCGTTGAAGCTACCAAGCAGTGTTTTGTGACTGGTTCTCATTGGGAAGCATTTGGAGATCCTACAAAAACTCTTGGTTGCAATCCGACCCCAGCGGTGGTTCCTTTCGGGGCTTCGGTTTGAGATCTTAGAGTCAGAAATGACTGTGTCATACTTGAAACTGCTGGTAGGTCTTGCTAGCTCTCTCAGAATTCAGGACGTCCCAAGAAAATGCCTCACGAGTTCCATCCAAACATATCCAAACTCTGCATCCCGCACATTTTGGCCGCACACGGTTTCGGCCGCATGTCCTCCACCACATCCTCCCGCTAAGGGCTTTCTATTCACGCCCCTTAGTTCAAACTCCGCACGATGCAGCATGCTTTCACCTGCCGGTGAAGTCTTTCCCCTATGGATCCGCTTCCCCGTTGGAGAAGGTGATTGGAGACACGTGTGATGTTTTTTTGCATGTAGCTTTGGAGGGTCCAGTCGTACCTCGTTTCGGTTCGGTGGAAAGCTGACCTGCTTCGTCGGTGCGGAGCACGAGGAGAGCTCCGGTGACCACGGGCGGGACCTCGTCGTCCTGTGCAAAGCGCTGCTTTCGCCGGCTGGACCGGTGTGGGGTAGAGGTGGTTTCAGGAGGGGTTTGCATGGTCTTGGTTTTGGGGGGCTGTGTGATTGTTCTTAGCTGGAGCTTCCAGGTCCAAGGTTGATCCAGAAAACACATGCATTACAGACTGTATACTATGTGGTAATATACATGTCATGCGAGTAGTTTTGTTCAGCAGATGTTGCATCTTAAAGACCGGTGCAGTGCCATTGGGTATTGACAAAAACGTTACTGTATGCCAGAAGACGTATGTATAGTATAGCCCCTGAAAGAGACTGTTCTTACATGAGTAATGAGTCATGAGTAATGTTTTTTGTTGGTCTTCATGGTGATTCAGTTTGCTGTTGTTCCTAGTCCATGGTCCATGATGAAGTTCCCTGCTGCTACACCTCACATTTGCCCAAAGGCCGCTAGGAGACCATTTCTGACAAACTACACCCTCCTCAACTAAATACTAAGCCCAGGGCTACTGGCGGCAGCATGGCGGCGTAGCGCCGGAGATTTTGATTCAAAACAAGTACTGACACCGTTCGACGGGTGTCGTGAAGAAAACGACACATGAAGAAACATGAGGATTCAATAGACCTTTTTGGAGTGGTTGCTATTGTTTTGGTGATGGCGGCAGCATGGCGTCAGGTTTGTAAGTGAAGGTGTTCTCTGTCCGTGGGATCTTCTCGTTGGGTCCCTGTCGATCGGGATGTGTATGTGCCCCACACGCAGTGGGGTCAATGCACCAGCCATCAGGGTCAACCGGGCTCCGGGTGCACAGCCACTGGCGTGGCCTCACATGTTTCCATGGATTCTGCAGCCAAGACCGCCGGGGTGCTGCCTAAGTGGGTCGGAGGATCAGACAGCGAACGAGAGTCGAGTCCCTCACGCGTCTTCCGTGACGAGAGGTTTGACTGAGCGCTCGATGTGCTCACATCCTCGTTCGGTGTCTTCTTTGTCCACCCCAAAGCCCGGTTCCAGTCTGGCGATTCCATCCAGTCGGAAGAACACATGACGATGGGTCGCGTTGTTGTTCTGCTAAAACCATTCGGATGTAAACCCAAGGGCTCCCGAGAAATCCTTTTTGGAGTGCAGGAAGTAGAGAGAGCCGGTGTTGATCAACAGCTATGTTCATCTATGTTCCTTTGTTGTAAGATGCGAATTTAGCAACGTCAAAAACCCTCAAGAAAGGAATTTAGACCAGGTTCATGAGCTGGAGAATACCATCATGTCTAGGGGAGCTTGGGTTGGTGCTTGGTCAAACAAACAGCTTCGACCTGTTGGTGCTTGTTTGGCCGCCCTGAGCACCCCGGACGGACACAACACATGAATAACCTGACGTAACGAGCGCAATCTGACCTTGATGGACGAAATCCTGCACCACCTCTGCAGGATTTGGGACCTTCAACGAGGGAGAACGAGGGCAGCAAGAAAACCGTGCGGACAGTGGTGCAGGATTTTGTCCATCAACAAGACCTCAACAGGAGCAGGACAATTCCAGGTGGATACGTTCGGACCTTTGCTCTTGAATTGGTTGAATCCTGGGTGAATGAGTCAACTGATCGGCTTCTTCTTGATAGGTAGCCATACTACGGACAACGATGGCGAGACTCCGCTCCACAGCAGGCAGCTGCACTAATGTCACATCACGCTCCCAACGACGGACTGCATGACTAAGTACATTCCATGCCATATACCTGGTAGCATAGCTTGGATCTACGTCCCTTGTTGGCTTGAAGCTCTTGTCCCGTCACGGTGAGAGGACCTGCCACGCGCTGCGGTTCGCGGTTACCTGGTTGGGACCACCTGCGCATGGGGGGGTGTCCAACAAAGCGCACTCCTACTATAGAACTTTGTTCGCCAGCTTGGGGCTGCGTTGCAGGTGGACAGGATGATTGTAGCTACAGAGCAGTTCCCCCCCCCCACACGACGAGACTTTTGGACGTCTAAACCGGGTGAAGTTGAATATTCCAGTCGCTGAACTGAGGGCTCGACGGGCTCGACACCAGGCTGGCCATCGACGGCAACACGGCGCTGCATTGCGCTGCACCGCAAGCAGATGCACCATGCCACATCACGCTTCCAACGACGGACTGCATGCATAGCTTGGATCTACGTCGCTTGTTGGCTTGAAGCTTGTGTCCCGACCTGCCGCACGCTGCGGTTTGCAGTTACCTTGGTTAGGACCACTCGGGGGGTGTCCAACAAAGCGCACTCCTAATGCACTCCTACTATAGAACTTTGTTTGCCAGCTTGGGGCTGTGTTGCTGTTGTGGAGGATGATCAACAATTGGAAATCTTTGAGGGTGTCTCAAGAGTGCGCCACTGCAAAGCAAAGTGCCTTTCAGGACAGCTGGGAGACCAAAGGCCCCTAAAGCAGCTGACATATCAAATGCCTCCAAGTTTTAATTTATGGTGGTTGCGATTGCATAAGAGCGTTGCACTCATATGCTGGCATGCTCCAAGCCCTGCAATACTGCCAAGGTTTTGTTTCGTGCTTTCGGCGTTCCGACATGACAGAGCGAGGTCATTTTCGAGCCTTTTTGATGTGGTTCAATAAAAGCATCATATAATTTTGTTTCGGGCATATTCCAACATCACGGGATTCAATCACAGGGCCTGGGCATCACTCCCAGGAGCTCTCGGAAACCGATGATCCGCGGAGCTGGAGACCAAATTTTTCGGGATCGCGATGAGTTCGGCAAGACAATTGGGGGCCATGGAGCCATGGATTAATTGTGGGAAATGTAAGCGAATTTATATACACGTGGACATATCAGAAGGACGCCAAACCCAGCAAAGTTCGAATGAACGTGGATGGCACCTCCTGCTTACTGTTTGTCGAGACAAATGATCTTCCACGTTGCCTATGCCATCCACTTCCAAGATTATTCAGGGAATCTGTAACGGTGAAAACAAGGAACCGTCCACGTTGCATGGATTTGCGAGACTGGAAGTTCTGATTGAACCGTGTCCTGCCAAAAGATCCTTCACACCAAAACAGGGGGGGTTCAGAGCCTCATGACTCATGGCTAAAGCAAAGCACACCTTGGCCCAATTTTGTGAGTCGGAAAACTCCCATAGATTGAATTGCCCCCCCACCTGTAACAGTCCAACAATCATCACTATGACCTTTGAATTCGCCTGATTTCTTCTCACTTGGCGCTTTCCTGATGTTGAACCCCGCCGGCTAACTGTTCTTTGTCCTTTCTGCTGGCGTGACCACATGCCTCCTCTCTTATGGCAGGAGCCTGTTCATGGGCGCACTGGGCCGTCAAGGTCTTTGGGAGCTGGCCTTGGAGTCTCTTCGCGCACTTCGCCAAAAGCACGACGCCGAGGCCGGCCTTCCGCCGAGAGAAATGGGCCTGTTGGGACACCGTGGGAGATCGGGTGATGGCCGCGGTGGTTTCACCTCAGGTGCCCTAAGGATGAATTGACATGGATGATTGCAAGATGTATCCCACGCCAAGGATGGGCTGAGGTATGTGTTCTGAAGAATATATCTAATTAGAGCAAATACAAATAGTATCATTTCATTAGCTAGCTATATAATACTTTAATATATATATATTGATTTATTCATTCGCCAGGACCTTCCCAGTGACCTTGTGAGATCCCATAATGAGGGCACTTAGGCCTTGGAAAGGTCACTTACCAATCCTGAAGAGGTCACTGGGAAGGTCCTGGCATGGGCATGTAGTTATGTGTTACATATATATATATATGATACACTTACTTGGCCCTATCAACTGTCAGGGTCATCAGAAGAATAGCTTGATCTTGCAGGCAATCATCAGAATGTAGAGATCACTTTGACCACTTTATCTCGTGTTTCTGACCGAGGCTGGCGGATCACCCACTGGTACGGTACATCCTTGTTGATCATCACTGGACCCAAAAGAAGTGAACTGAGAGCCGACTGAAACCGCCTCTTGGATTGCTGGGTGCGTAGTTTAGTTTAGTTGTTCTTCTGACTCGAAGCCTTGAATTGAACATAGGGTAAGTTTGGGGAACTTTTGGTGTTTTTCTGCCCCTCTCTATTCAGGACGTCCGGGCGCGGTGATGTGTGTGTTTTAATGCAGAAGACGGTAGTTCCTTTTCATACCTTTCAAAAGGGAAATGCAAAATCTCACGTGAAGTTTCTTCATGTAACCATGCGAGGCCTAGAGACTCCAACGGGATCCCCCTTTTTTGACGACCATTCCTTTGATACATGTTAATATATGTTTGGCGCATCAAATGTCAAGGTCATTGCATAACCCAGACACTCCATGTATGCCATATATGCCTACATTGGGGTGGTTTGAGGGGCCAATGTAGACAAATATGGCATACACGGAGTGTTTGGGTAAACAGACGTGATTTCCCCTCCTCCGAACTGTCAGCCCGGACAACCGCGGAGACGAGGGCGATGCTCCGAGCAGCCGAACGCGGAGCGAGCAGCGGCTGGTGGCCTCCGCCATGACGGCCTGCAGGTGCGGTGGCCAAAGTCGGGAAGCCGGAAAGGCTTCGTTCGGGGGAATCCACGGTTTTTTTCAAGCGACAAGGGCTAAGACTAGTACTGGCTGAACATGGTTCATGCTGAGATGGAAGTTGTTGTTGTTGTTGTTGTTGGTGGTGTGTGTGTGTGTCGCACTCCGTATCCAGTAGTTTTAGTTTTATAGTTTATTTTAAACACTATCTGCAGGGGGCCATCCCTCTCACCAGTGGTGGATGGCCACCGAAGAGGCCCGTGGTGAGGGCTGTAAACGTAGCTGCACCTCTAACCAGGGCAACAGAAGGAAATGGTACTCGACACACTTGTGTGTCGGTTCCTCTCCTTCTGTTGATCCCTTCTCTAGTTTACTCTACCCAGGCGGTTTCGCTCCCTAACTATTGCACGTAATTAAAGACCGCTAAGTATTCAGTAAAGGGCTAATGCAAAACAATGTTTAACAGCTCAATTGCGCTGACCACCTCGCCTTGCTGTTCCCTCATTCATTTCCTTGTGGATTATGATATTGAATGAACTTTTATCTAAGTGCTTTTCTGAACGGATTCTGGAGCTGAGTTTTGCCAAACTTTCGCAGCGGTGCATTCTACAATTCTAGACGTTGAACATGTGAATTAGCTTCAGACTAGGACTAAGACTAGGACGTTGACCTGCACAAGACAGTTGTAAATTAGGTCCAACATATGAAGTTGTTTCTTTTGATACACCATGCATCAGCATTAAATATGAATGTGAGAAGAGACTGAGCGAGCAACCTCCATTGCTCCTGGCAGTCGGGCGACGCAGTGGTCCATCGCGCTGCTGTTGCTGGGATCCACTGGCAAGCCGGATGTCAAGCTCCTCAATGCAGGCTTGCTGAGAAACATGAGTGTTGAACCCCTGGGTCCGTGTTTTTTTTTCTTGTGCTCAGAAGGCGAAGTCCTGAGAGGTACCCAATTGGCCTAGCTCAGCTAGGATCTTTCTTCCGCCATGTCCCTTAAGCAGTTTTAGCAGGTGGAATCGAGGAACAACAAAATGTTTCAAGGGTTCTTTGACTTGGCATTCCGGAACTGATCGAATACCACAGTGTTTTGGAACTTCAAGACAGGAGAGACGTCGATCGCATGCTGCCAATGTATTCGCTCTTTTCGAAGCGGTGGGTGTCCTAGACACACGTCGACACACGCCGACACGTCTGGAACCCGGCTGTCGGCCGAACTGGTGCACAGGAACTGGTGGAAGACATCCTGTTTCGACGCACCGGGAGTTGATGAATTTCAGGGAATATTTGGGATTATATGGGTGTGTATGCTGAGAATAGCTTAGAATAACTATTCTGTGATTCTAGAATAGCTATTTTTGGGATTATTATATGGTTTCAGGGTGTGTATGGTGTGTAATGAAAATATCATAGGGATATTATCCCAAAGATCCCTATAGGGAAAAGAAGCAATCGTGACTCAATCCATCGGTGGGAGGTCCCTCTATAAACATACTAAACCCGATGATCGTTGATCCACATCATCCACCTTCAAACAAAGAGTGACTGTCTTCGCAATCCCACGATGTTCGGTCAATGCGTCAATGCTATCTGCCTTTAAGCGGTCGCAGACACACACACACATGCATGCAGAGACTCCAGTTCGGGCCGACTAGGAAGGTCTTGGCACTGGGTGTTTTTCATCGAGCTGCCCCTGACAGGGATTGCGGCCTGTGCCAAGGGTGGCAAATGGCGGAGGAGCTTAGAACTTCTCAGTGAGATCCTTGACCAGTGATGTGGTGTTAAAACACCGGGTCGCGGGCTGCAGTTACCAGTTTTTTGAGGATGTGATAGAGCAAGTAGTGTAGACTCTTGATGATATATATATATACCCCGCAAACCTTGTCAGTTCTACAATCCATGTTTTGGGGTGGTTTTATGAATTAGGCGTTCTTTCTGGAAGTCATTCAATTCTTGCTTGAAGAACTGGGCAGAGAATTCCACTGGATAAGACTAGACTTGTCCATTGGCCAAACCTTCCCAGCCAGCCTTCTGCTCGCCCCTTGCACCAGCTAAGGATTCAAGCGCAGTTGATGCTGCCCACAGTGTCTTGGCCGCACTGCCAGGTCATGCCCTAAAAAAGTAAAACACAAGTAAATAATAAAACGTAAAAGCATCCAGCCCAAGGCAGCATGATAAACCTTATGCCACCACTCTTTCTCAGGGCTTAAGCCTCAAGTTGGAAGCCACATTTGGTTTGTCACTGTTGGCGTAGGGGGCTCCTTGGACTATGCGCTCAACGTTTTGCTGGGCATTCAGTGGTCCAAGGGCAGAGGCCCAGTCGACCCAACGCCACCCCGATTCTCGTGATCCAGTGGCCAATAGAATCTCTTCCTCAGGTTCGGTGGTTAGATGCCCCTGGCACCCACCCCAACCATCTTCGAAGCGGAGGTGGTTGGAGCCCTAGGGAGAATAGTGGAGCCATTGGATTTGGCATGATTTGGTGCAAGTTTCCACTACCCTCGACCAAAACCCGGTTGCTTTGAGGTCGTTTCCTTCGGCAGCATCATCAGCGCTTGTGCAAGTGGGCAGGCATGGCCGGTGGCCATCCAGCATCTTGGCCAAGTTGGGCAGTTTGGGAGGGTGGGGGCATGGTGTTGGAGATGCTGTGGGTCATGGCACCAGGATACCTTGGCTGAGCTACCGACGTGTTAGTTCTTTATCGCTACATGGTGGGACCAGGGCTCCAGGTACCATGACCCATCCACATGTTTTTTTATGATCAAGATCCAGGTTCCATGTTAGTTCAGTCACCACCATTCGAGCTCTTCCCGCTCTTCGCCCGGATGTCAAAGGACGAACGGAGGATCCGAGCGACGCACTCGGGGCGGAGCGGGCTTCGACCCTCGGAGGGGTCAGCTGACGAAATGGGCGAAGCGGCCGAGGGACCATGTGTTTCCATCTTGCGAAGCCGAGGGTAAGCTGGAGCCACCCTGTCACAGACCGAGGATGTCTCAAGAGAAACTGGCGCCGAAACATGAAGAATGGAGATCAATTGAGTTGATTCAGATTCAGGCGCTAGTTGTTCACCAGACGCTATAGGGATAGGTCTTTTGTGGAGACTTGTTGACCTGAAACAAACATGGTTGGCTCAAAAATCCGATCAGGACGTATCAGGACATCGCTATAGGACATAGCGCTTGGATCCGACTGTGCATACTCGGAAGTTGGCATGAGCATCAAAGCATTTAGTTCCGAGCACATGATAACATTCTTTGGAAATTGGGATGGACAGGTATAGTACTTGGTGTTTGCTTCTCTGGCCGAGGTTTGCCGATCTCTTAGAATAGCCGACTCATTTCCATGTGAAATCCTCCCCAAAAGGGGAACCCTCAACGGTCCACCCAGTTTCAAAGCTTAACTTCTATTTGACCAATTGAGAAGCTGGGACGAAGATTTAGACCAGCACGGAAGCAATTTCAGTGACCGACCGACCCATTGGACAAGATGAGGAAACACCTGGTCTGAATTCCTTAAACACCTGGTCTACGTTCCTCCTTCGCCCCAGCCACCCAGCCACCCAGCGCCTACGCCTCCGCCTCCGCCTCTGAAAGCCGCAGAGACCTCCACCGCATGGCCTCAACCCTTGTTTGTGACTTCAAACCAAGTCATCAAGTCCAGAGACCTCCACCGCATGGTCCATCAGAGACCTTAGGTCCTTGGACTTGATGACTTCGCTCCAGATCGATCCCAGCGTCGCCACTGGGACGGTGGCAACCCCGTGACCGGCCGACCGGTGCGGCGGGGGCGAGGACGGTTAGGACGGGACATTGAAGTCGTGGTTAGGTGTTCAAACCTTAGGTGTGAAGTCTTGAGAACTTCACTTGAGGGAACTGAATGACACTGAAGTTGCTGGATGAAATCCTTCAACTCAATGAACTTCTAGCCATGCCATGTGATGTCATAGATGATTCTCATGGAGTTGTTGGTCATGTTCCAGCTCGGAGTTGCTGCTCAAAATGCACCCCTGCGTACCCCTGCGGCCATTGGCACCTGCTCGTAATACACTCCCTGGAATCATCATGGAGTTCACCACTGTTTTGATCTTCCGGGTCCCTTGTTCTTCCACTTCCAGCAAGGTTCGAGGGTGAGTCAGCAAAAAGACATCTCAGGGAGGTTTCACCTCCCTGACTTTGCAGAGGTCACATATAGCGCGGCGGCCAGCGCCTGTGAGAAGGGGCACCAGTGGCCGATGGCCTTCGCCGTGCTACAGCTGCTGTTCTGCGCGAGGGGCTGGTGGATCGGAGGTGTAGACCAACCGGCGAGGCTTGTGTAGACCAAGGGGCAGGCGCCATCCAGGCTACTTAAACCGCTTAAACACATCTTTAAAACCAAGCAAACACTGCTAATATGGTTTTATGACATGGTTTTCACGTGCTGTTTTGATTCAAGCGGATACTGCAGAATAAAGACATTTCGATTGCACGCGGCTCTGCTCGGTAGAGAACATGCCCCACTCACAGGGTCAGCTGCTTCAGACAGCAGTCGCTTCGGTTTCGGTGTCGCTTTCGGTGTCGCCCAAGCTCGGAGAGGATCGGAGGACGGACACCTGGACCTGTGGACAGAGAGCCAGTCCGATCCCTCACACGACGAATCATATCGAATCAGAAATCAAGCACTCCCAAGCACTTCTTATTCACAGAAATCGCGAGGTGACCGACTTCAAATGAGGCGAATGCACTCGCATCAATTGCAGCCGAATGTGGTGACGTTTGGTGCTGTGGCTTGGAGGCAAGGCTAGGCGGCTAAATGCCCACAGGGATATCATGCCTATGGTCTATATTTAATATGTAATTTTTGAAAATTATATTATATATATTATCAAAAGTAATGGTGCATTCAGAAATTCCTGTGCACTACACGTCTTTTAGGAAAAATTACAAAAGTCGCTTGAAATGCACGTTTTCTGATTGTAGCCATTTTGGTAGTATTGGGTGTCATTTTCCCATGTCCAAAGCCTGTCATACGGTGACAAATGAGAACAGCTATGTCAGAAGTACTGAGATACCTTTGTGGGTCGAAGGGTGTGTCCATCCCAAAGGAATGGCGTCCGCTGCTTCCTCAAGAGATTTCGAGCTTGTCAAACCAGCGGGGCTTCATTTGTTGAAGAAAAGCCCTGCGGGACAAATTTGTTCTACCCTGAAATTCCCATCAAGTACACGTTTCTTCCCGTCCAATATACGTCTTTTCCCGTCCTTTACACGTCTTTCCCGGTCAATACACATCTTTCCCCATCTTAGCCTACAGTTACGAAGGTTTTGAATCTGTGGTGGGACATGTTAGCAGGATATGTACTCAAGAACTGCAAGCCACAGAGGGCTAGACCGGATCGGTATCAAAATGAAATGGGAGATCCGGAAGTTGAGCTGGAAGCGCAGGCTCCTGCACAAGTGACAACCAGGGCCTTCTGGTGTGTTTCAAGACAGGACCATGCTCACAGAATTGCGCAACTTCCTTCTCAAGTGCGCAGATTTCTTTATAGAGTACACGGACATCTCCTCCAAAATCAAGTGCGCAAAAATGTTTGTCCAATGAAGATGCACGTTTAGGTTTTTAAAAAATATAATCGCAGTGGCACTGTTGATGTTACTTTTGTTGTTTCAAGACAATGTATTCTTATATGTTCGACAGGTTCATTTTGGGTGGATGCCCATTCAATGGGCCAAGTTAGGCGGGTTCCGGGTCGTTGTAGATGAAGCTCTGAAAGATCACAGAACTCCTCAGCTATGGTCGACTGCCACCAACACTATCCGTCACTGGGTCAACTCCCTGATGCACGAGTTTTGTACCAACAACACCCTCCCGAAGCACTGGGGGCCCTGATCCGCCAAACCCATTTGACCATTTCTGGCGACCCAATATGTTGCCTCTCTTCAGGTCATCAGTGCTTGCGAAAAAGGGCTGCAGTGGCAGCGTGTCTGTGGCCTACTTGCCCAGATGCGTCACCACGAGGCGTTCGAAAGATTACCCAAAATGGCAAAGAAACGCAGGTGGTTGGGTGATACGGATCATCCGTTCCCCGTGTTTGTTTTTTTGGCATGTTCTGAGATTGCATGTCAAACACGGTTCCAGGAGGGTTCCACATGTTTCCTTTGATTTGGAACCCAGAAACTTGCTTTTCAACCACCCCTGGCATGGCCAGTCCCAGACAGGTCGTGCTTATTAATTACATGTTCTCACGATGAGTGGACTGAGGGTTCTCACCGGTCCGATCTCTTTGTACCTTGGCCACATCATGGCAAGCGAGTCTAGACCCCAAGCAAGTCGGTGTATTGTAAGTCCGGGAGACCCCCTATCACCCCAAGGGGTGGGCGTTGCATGGGAGGTTTCCCTATTTTAGATATTACTTTATACTCACCCAAGTCCAAAAACATCCAAAAAGTGCACCTGATGGGGTCTCGACCTTGGCCAGCTGCAGAGCTTGATTGGGTTTGCTACAGGTCAAAACCATGAGCAGCATTAAGCAGCTAAGCTTGAGCAGTTCAGGGTGTAGCCAATCTCATATGGATTCAACTTGGTGACTCAAAGTCAGTGGCAGAAGATCAGAAAACCAGGATCCGATGAACCCCAATGGATCGAGCATTTGTGACACCGTGCCCAAGCATCAACCTTTTTCTGGTTACATCGGTTCATTCCTATAGGTCTGGTCGAATCGATTGCTCGACCCATTGATGAATGGATTGATTGACTGATTGATCCCCTAGCGCTCCCGGCCCATATCCTCAGGTTCGGTGGTTAGACACCCCAAATCCACCCACCCCAACCATGGGATCAATCGATTGATGGATCGAAGTCCTGCGTGTTTCTCCGCTGCCGCGTGGTGGCCCTGCAACTGCCGCAGGTGCCCCCGAACACCATTTGCTGCAATGCAGCGATCAGCGCCTGCGAGAAGAGTGGTGAGGTGCTTTGAAAAGGGTGTTTCCAGTGGATTTAGTTTCATTTGTCCCCCCTTCTTAACCTCTTGATCGCCTCGCAAGCTCCTAGAAAGGATAGAAAAAGGAATCCTGGATCCCTGACAGAGGAAGAAGTGATTTCGATGTTCCCTTGTCTTTGATGCAGACATCCAATTGTGGTCTTTTGCAGCCAGATACAACCCAAAACAGATAGAGGCTACCAAATGCTTTGATTGATGTATGTCGATGCGTGGCGAGCGATGCTACGAAAGGAGTCTACCCATGTCGCCACGTCCGCTGCTGCGGGGTCATGTCGCCACATCCCAGCAAGTCACTGAGCAAGTCCACCCAGCGGTGAGCCATTGGACACACGAGAAGAACGGCGAAACGCTGCGTTCGACCACGCCGCGTTCGACCGCGACGGACACCCGGGTGAAGCGACGGACCGAGTGACCAGTGACCTTTCCTCGGTCCAGGTGGGTGCTGCGTTCCAACTCTTTAGGCAGATGCTCTCACAGGGCCCCAGCCACCTGCCGACACGATGGGGGGGAAAGGGGGCTGTCCGTGCGATGGGGTGTAAAGGCTGGGTCGAAGAAGAAAGAGTTTCTGAAATCAAAAGAAGAGGACATAAGAGGACATTTATTTTTTGAGGATTCACCAATGAGGGGGTTGATTTGTAATGATTGGTTGGTTGGTTTGTCCGTTTGTCATGATGTTTTCCAATCTACCCTTCCTACTGGTCTTCACACATGTATAGATCCATAGGCCAATGTGATATTGTGGCATGAATTGGTGCCCACAGAGCCGACACTCTGTGTTTCATATTTATTCTTTTGGGGGGGTATTCGAAGACAACACATACACATGGATTCGGATGATGAAGGGAAACAAGACTTGTTGGTGCCGTTCTCTCTTGGCCTTGTTGGTGCTTTTATCTTTCCCTAGGGCTCCAACCATATCCTCAGAAGGTGGTTAGACCCCCAAACCCACCCCAACCATCTTCTCAGGAGGTGGTTGGAGCCTAGGGTTTGTTGAAGACTTCGAATACATTTGTCTAACCGAGCTGGGACAATCCATAGCTCAACTCCAGATGTCTTTGGGACCTGGACTCCCTTGACACAGTCCCTGATCAAAAAGCTCAAAGACTACTCGGTCACTTGGAGGCACGTATCACGTGAGGTAAAAAGGACGTCACCAGAGAACCTCTGGCGCCTGTGCCTATCATTAATTCATCCTTGATATCTGGGCCGGACATGCCCAACCCACCCAAGTCGACCACCGTTTTGGGCGCCTGTTTGTTCCACGCGCCCTTTGGCCCAAAGCCAGTCGCGCACTCGTCGTCCCGGGATCGCGTCGCGCCTAGGGCCTGACACGGTGACGGCCAACGCCTTGATCAGCAGCTGTGAGAAGGGCAAAGCCTGGCGCCAGGCGAACACTGCTACGAGACGGTGAGAGATGGGAGAGCCAGGTGGTTTGTGAGTTGGGTCGGTTGGATTGGATAGATCATATACCCTAATTAGCACCTTCTCAGGAGGTTGGAGCCCTATAGCGATAATTCGATGGATTCCACATTGCCTTGGAATGATGTCAAAAGAAATGGTGACGACCTGCCTGACGAAATGTGTCTAATTCCTCCTAACTGGGGTGCCATGTCCATCCTGTCGTTGTTCATTCGTGAAACACCACCGGACGGACAGAGCGGTTCTGGAACCAGCGGCCTGGCGCGGTGGCGGCTGCGGAGGCCCTGGATCTCTTGAATGCCATGCCCAAGTTCCAGCCCCTTGAGCAGTTGGAGCCGTGACAACTGGTGAAAGACCGTGTATTTTTTTTGTGTTTTGCTTTGGCTGTTTGGACTGTTTTACTGTACCTAGATTTGAAGGACTTGGAATCAATTGGCATTTGGTTCTGTCTCAAAATGGACTTAGCCGACCAGAGCCTAGAGCCATTTGACTAGTTGATGTTAATTGATTTTGTATGGAATAAAAGCCAGGGAGGTATACAGACCCTGATTCATTGGCTTTCAGACTGATAGGTTTGTCCCTGTTTTGAGAGAAGGCAACGGCCTGCCCAAATCCACTTGGCCGTCAGCGACAAGGATAGTTTTCCAGGCGATTTGATCAGCGATAACACTCTCAGCATGTATGCCTCTCACTGTCCATGTTCTTGGAAAATCGGGAATTTTCCGGACGCCTGGTGTGCACGTTGCCTGTAAAAATACATACCATGCCCAGGCTGTTCCCTGACAACATCTCCTACAATGCCGCCATCAGCGCTTGTGAGAAGTGTCGCTGGGAGTGGGAAACTGGAGATGCACGTCTCCCTAAAAGTATCGCACAGTGACAGACTGTCGTGGGTAGCGTCAAACAGGTTTCAACGCCATTGGAATTTTGTGGGGCTGATGGCTGATGCTCAACCTTTAAAGCACCAAACAAACATCACGAGTTCCCAATCCCTAATGTAGACCCCTGATTAATACCCCCCCATTCAAATTGAAATGCCTCTCATATGGCACGTTTAGTAATCGATCTACATTCGCAATGGTCCCAAGTACATCACGTGTTTATCTTTCTTTGAGACACTTTTCTCGAGGTGACTTATGATTTCGGAGACTGCCCAGGACGGCAGCCTTGCAGTTTATTGAACGACCAAAACCGGGGTTGGAGGCTTCCCTAGTTTTGATACCTGATGGATCCTGATGAATTTGAAGAGTCGCCCCATACACATGGTTTCAAAACCGGTTGAACACCAAGCCCCGTCATACACCATCGCCGGTGCGGTCCGGGACGCTTGGAGCAGCAAGATCAGATCTGGTCAGGGTGCACTAGAACAGCAAAGGAGCGTTGAGTGCAAATATGTTGTTGTGTATCTTGACATATAAACATCAATTTGTATGCAATTGATTACAGTTTGAACTGTTTAATTAATTGTTGTTTTCCTAGATCAACAAAAAAGTGAGCGTTGGGGCAACCCGTTCGGGACTTCACAGACTTCACATCCATCAAGAGTTGACATCCCCCAAACCCTTGGAAAGGAAGCATTCCACTCTCCCGGTGTGCGCGTGGAGCAAGCTGAGCGGAGCCGCCATTTTTGCGGCTCAGGTCATCAATGGCAATGGGCCCTCCAGCTGCTGGAGGAGTTGCCAGAGGCGCTCCAGGAGTGTCGTTGACGGAGTTCGCTCATGGCTGTGGGACTTGAAAAACCACTTAAGGTGCTTTGGGTGCCACGACCCACAGTATAGCGAGTCTGAAGCGTCCTGCGTGGAGGGCATCCATGTGACTGGTAGGACCCAACGGGCTCCGTCCCATCACCCGGAGGGTTTCGCAGGTGGGTGCCCAGATGGTGGTTGGGGGTGGTCGAAGATGGTCGAACCATGTTCTCACCTGCTTGGAGCCCGGCCCTAGGGCCTATAGGGTTTTGTGATGTTTTGTGCTCCCCAAGGTGGCCACATAGCAAGTCCGAGACCTCGCGGAACCTTCGTCACCCAGGCCTCCTTGCAGCTGGATGTGGTGGGCCTCAACGCTGCGATCAGTGCCTGTGAGAAGGTGGCCGACTGGCGTCGGGCTTTAGCCTTGCTGACGCAGCGAAGGTGGGCCAGACCGACCGCTGCGCGGAGGTGGCTGGACTCTCTCTCTCTCTCTCTCTGTGTCGGGTGAAAACCAAACGTGGAGACTCCGCCTTCGCCCTTCGCCTCGCGCGTGGCCAGACCCGCTTCCGCCGCGTGAAAACACACCTGACCTGGGGCCGAACATGCACACTCCTCCGGTCCGTGCGGTGAGTGGACGCTGTCCGTGAGTCCCAGTGCCGTCGTCCCAGATCGAAACAGGGATCGAGGACGTCGATCGACTGTGAAGGCGATCGGTGGACTCCGTCGGACGTCGGAGGTCCGGTGGCGACTGAAGAGCAGCGCCGACTCTTTGGACCCGGGAAGTGTTGGTGTCCTGCCGACCTTTGGTCGGGCATCAATAGGCCTCCAAATCAAACAAAACAACCATTGAAAGCACCACCGAAGACGAGCAGGTCACTGCTCCGGTCACCGCTCGAGTTGATTTGCTGGCATGCCAGGTCTCCAAGGCCTAATATCATCAGACGCTTGGTGAGGTGAAGGAAGACGGCGGGCGGAAGAGGGAGGGGTGGTTGAACCCGTTTGGGAGCGTCTACTACTGATAAGTAGCAGTCATGAGTTGTTCAAAACCATTTTTACACCTACAGCGTTTGGATGATATGTATTCGAATACAGAATCAACCCCCCGTTAAACAGATATATGGATTGTTAAACCCTCTGAAAAGGCATTGGGGGGTTAAGTCATTGGCCCTTGCTATCTCATACAGTATGTTTTTTTCAGCTACTTCTGACACATCGATGCCAAATACTCAGGGAAATTGCGGCCTTGACCTAAACCCATGGAGAGATACATACAACACCACAACGAAAACGTCCAAACAACCGGCCCGTCTCCAAGGCTTCAATGCAGCGATTGGGGCATGTGAGAATGCGCAAATGTGGCGAGAAGCCTTGGAACTCTTCAGCCAGGGTGTCTTGGAGCTGGTGATGAAAATGGCGTGATGGACCCGGATTCTCTGGTGGATGATGGTTGTGGCTAATATGGTGTATATATATATATATATGTAGTAGAAATTGTATTCATAGTGGGACATGGGTGCCATTGGCTGGTACAGTTATGGGGTGGCTATATAGATGGACCTGGGGATGGGTCAAAACCTGGAGTAAGCATGACTTCATGCGAGCTGCCAGGTAGGTCAACCATGTTATCCTGGTTTTGACCCACAGCTATGATGATTATCATTCTGGTTATGATTAGTGGATATTAGTGGTATGTTATAAGGTGTGGTGAGGAACGCAGTCAGCAGCCCGAAACCAGTCCATATATGTTCTTCAGGTCCTGTTTTGATTGAATATAGGGAAGTCTACTTGCAACTGACTTGTTTCCATTTAGCAAGTGACCCTGTGACCCATGCAGAAGCTGGCAGCACCGTTTTTTGCTCAAGCCAACAGAGTTTCCCCGTTCTGGGCTTCAAAGCGTCTGGACCTAAGCTGGGATTCAGCTATCTTGGTGCAGGTTCAAATACTTCTGCACTGCATAGTGATCACGTGGGCCAAAATCCAAGATCCACCTTGGATAATAGCTTTTGGATATTGACATTTGAAGATTCCACTGCACTCAACTCACCAATGAAGAAGTGAGTTGGTTTATGTTCATGATTCATGATTGCATTCACGTCACTGCATGCGAGCTTTGTACGCATTGTCCTTGCACTCCTTTGCATCACATCCATTCTTCTTGGATGCAGTCCAAGCTTGGGAGTAAACCTTAGTGTGTGTGAGCTGAAAGCAGTGACACTTATGACTTTAGCATTCAAACATTTTTGAGCTCAAGATGGATTCTGAGTTCATGAAAGCACACTTCAAACAGTGTTTGAACTCAAGATTGTTCTTCAGAAAAGGACACATCAGAAAAGGAACGCAGTGCATCTTCTTCACAGTCTCATCCATGGATCTTGCCCGTTTGTGGCTCAATGGTGATGCCTCTTGCTGTTGCTTGGCTGCGGACTTCTTCTGTTGGTTCTTGGTCTGGCCTTTGCTTTTGTCATTTGCTGACCTGCCTACTGTGCCCTTTGCCTTGCCTGCTTTGCCCTTTGCCTGGGCTTTGCCCTTTGCCTGGGCTTTGCCCTT